GTGATGGTTCCAACTATACATTTCCATGATAGTTTAATGGGAATTCTTGTTGGTTCTCAGAAATATACAATCAAAACATAAAATGGTTTTTTTAATTTTTTTTTAATTATTATTATCTTGGATCATCATAAATCTGTTGGAATTCCTACATTGAAATGATGGTTGTTCATCATCATTCTAACATTTGATTTCTAGAAAATTATGATGGAAATTTCTGATGGTTTGAACATGAACAAACCATCAAAACAAGTTTCTATTCTTATGTTGGACCATCACAAACCAGTCCGAATTCCTAAATTGGGGTGATGGTTACTTATGTTGGTTACCATCAAAAAAAATAATGATCCATGACGGAATTATTGGTAATTACCATGAAGATTATGTTGGTCCATCAATGATCAATGACGCCATCAAAAATTTTGACTTGGGTAATTATACGAATTATATTTAATAGATAGGATATGCCTGTCATACAAATTTAAAATTTATTTCTGAATTTTAGAAATTGATTTTAAATTTAAACATATCTGGCATTTAATTTTAAAAACTCACCTTCTATCTTTCCTTCCCTTTTTTTCCTTTTTTTTTTTTTCATCTTAAGTTTGCAATGCTCTAGGTTAACTAGAATTCTGACCTGCTTCATACATTTTAGATTTATTGGAATCATTAAAATTAATTTTTTTTCGCAGGACTCCCTCAATTTGACTGAATTTGCTTAAACTTTTAGCAATAAGCCTTTAATAAAGCTTTTTTCAATAAGCGCTTTTTACTCTGTGTGTGAAGTATTTCAGATTTGATCGTTTAACAGTTATTAGGTCGATTTAAATATTATCAAATTAGGTCGTTTATATATTGGAAAAACATTTTTTTTTTGCGATTTTAATTGTTTCTTTCCTCGAGTTCCAAAGTCTAGTTATCTACTGAAATGTTTCAACGTGTCATTATTTTTGCGGCCTTTTTATTTTACTTTTCACAAAAATTTAAAAAAAAAAAAAAAAGAGGATTTCAGTGTTTTCCATGATCACTGCTCAAAATTTTCCTCCAAACTTGTCAGCAAAAAAATAAGCAAATCGCAATTTACCTCCCCTCGTTAGATATTCATGAAATACACTGGTTGTAAGAAATTAAGAGAAGATTTGCAGACCTGGTCCATTATTTCTAGAACTATTGGACCCATTTTAATAAAATTTGATATGTATATACATTGATACAAAACAAAATAAATAAACATTCAACAATTGTAATATACACGCATGATCACGTGTAACACTCGTTGGAAGGTATGAAACAGCGATTGTAAAAAAAAAAAAAGTGTTAATTTGAGGTAGGGTCCCCTTTTACAGATATACAGGCCTTGTAGCGTGATTTCCTACTTGAAATAAGGCAGTTAATCATTTCCTCTGGCAATTCTATGTATTCCGACTCCACCGAGTGTTACTCGCATGATCATGTGTGAGTATTTTAATTGTAGAATGGTTATTTATTTTGTATTATATCAATGTATGTACATATCAAATGTCATTGAAATCGGTGTAGTAGTTCTAGAGATAATCGACCCAGTCTGCAAATTCTCTTAATTTAATACACCAGTGTATTTGTAAGGATCTCGACTTGAAAAAATGAGTTATATATATTTCCTAATCAGCCTAAATGAGTATGGGCTCACTGTAATTAGAATAAAAAGTGACTACATTAAAATGTTCTAAATTATAAAAACTTTAGAATTTTTTAATTATGCGGGCTCTTTGGAAATTGTCAGTAGCACTTTGCAAAGAGTCAAACTGTTATTCGATATATTAATCGATATATCCTCATAGTTGCCAACTCTACTGGATTTTTCAGTAGACTACTGGATTTTGCCAGTTTTTGCTTGTCTACTGGCTCCATTAAAATTCTCCTGATTTTTGTACATTTTCGAAAATTCCTTGAAATTGAGTTAGTTTCCTGAAAAAAATCCATATTGGAATTTGTGTACAGATTATTGCCTGCTTTCTTGAATATTTAAATAAGCATTACTAAAGTATAATGAAGTGAACCTCATTTATAGAAATCAGTTCAAAACTGTTTTCGTTCTAAAATGTTAAGTTTATTTTTTTTCAGATTAAATAAAAATTGTTTTTAATTATTTAAAAAAATCTTTTAACTATCTTTCATGAATTAAATGCCTATTATTGGAAATGAGTAAACATAAGGCAATGAATGATATTTGAAGCATGGTTAATGTCAATCATAACTGGAAAATAGTGCAGTTTTTCTGTTTTGATGACTATAAAAATCCTTAAATTTCCCCGTGTGTAAAATATTTTGTATATTATGCAACAATTGTCGTGAAATTTATATTATTTCATAAAATCTACTGGGTTTTTTCTCATCCATGTTGACAGCCATGCATCCATTTCTATTCTATTTCATATTCTTTGGGATGAAATTCGACAATTCTGAATTTCACACACACACACACATAGAAGAAGAAAAGAAAAATTCTTAGAATAATAATAGGTAAAAAAATATGTGGGCGGCAAATACAATCCGCAAAGAAAAGCATTTCACCTTTAGAGAACGGGATTACAAATAATTTCCCGGGCATTTTTTCCCGTAGCGTAAACACTTTTCTCTGTGTTTGGGTTTCCCGTCAAAATCCTTCCCACTTGTTCCAAGGCAGAGAAACAATCACGCGGGAACAAAACAAGCAAACGATATCAATAATAATGGCAGGAAGAAATCGAACACACATATATATGCGTTGAATCGCCTTTTAGGAGGGATATTTTTATTCTATGTGCCAAATCTCCCAGGCAGAAATCTCTTTCAGAAATCCCTTTTCATCCTTTAAAAGAACGATTCTGAATGGGGGTGAAAGGGAAGAAATAAGACTTGCAATTCATTGCATATTTGACAATCAAAATTGCTTTTCGAATGAAACTCATATCGTTCTCATTCTTAAATCAAACTGGTCTTTATTATGCGTAAATTACAGAAATTTACAAGAACGTAAAGTTTTCTCAATCAGTTTAAAATGATGTTTGACAAAAAATATTATAATTTTTAAGATATTCCTTAAAAATTACTTTTGGTATCAAACATGGCACGTCTTTAAAAAGTTCTTAAAGGTGCATATTTTCGTTTTTTAAAACTCCTAAAGGTACTTTTCATGGGGTGTGCTTTTTCAAAGTGCTTAATTTTCCCTTTTCGAAAATGAGATTTTTTCTTTACCATGTCGATTTTCGCCGCATATTATGCAAAAGCATGCTTTTCACAGTGTTCTATTCAACGTTTTCACAATTTATTCAACTGCAATCTATTTCTATGTGTCGTCGGCCCATAGCGTATGAAAGAGCCAATCATTTTACATGTTCGATGAAACACTTGCGAGTCCGTATGTGCTTCTACTGAGCTGGATTCAGTGAAATAATTGCACTCTCATGTACAACTCTGCTGCATTTTGCAAGATATTCTCCATTTCATTTTTCACTCTCTGAAACCGAACCGAAAAATCTCTCGATCTTATCATGGTGGTTAATATAATCAAGAAAAGAGTTCTTTGTCAGAAACTAGTTATCTTATCATGATTGAGCAAAGTTTTTGAAAATTATTTTGTATTTTGTTAATGTATATAGTCCTCAAAAATATTTTTTGAGTGCTTCAAAAGTACTTAAAGTGCTTATTTTTGGTTGAAAGATTTGGCTACGTACCCGGTTAAAAAATAGTTTTTTTCTCTTTTATAATAAAGGGAATTCATGGGCGCTGCAGGTTTCCAATTTTTAATTAACGAAACGAAATCTTAATTACGGGACGAAATTTAAATACACAGTCACAATAGTTTTCGAATGCAATATAAAATTAATTATATCTGCTAAAGAGCAGAAATATTTATTGTTCTTTCTTGTTTTTAACTTTGATAGATTTAAATCAATAATAGCTGATGCAAATTTGTTCATTTGACTTAAGGGAGTCCTTTAAAGATTTCTAATTATTGAGGGTGGGGGCATATATCCATGAACCCCCCACCCAGCCAAAAACGCCTATGGTTGATATAGGAAAAAAAGGCAGTAAATGTCACATTTTTAGACGGTCCACGCAAAAAATCTTGACATGAGTCAAAATGATACGTTTAGATTTATGTAAACATTTGTAGATTTTTATTTAGCCTTTGAGAGGATACTATATCACGGGAGAAAATTTTCATAGTAGATTCTGTTTCGCCTCCATTGACATTTTAGAATTTAAAGAAAAGGGAGTTCACAGAAAAACCTGGAGTATACCATGAAAAACCAAGTGCAGAAGAAATATTTCCATAATATTAAAATGCAAACAATTGATGCTCAATCAGATTTGATTTTTTGGAAGCATTTGAAACTTCCTGGTTATCTTTAGGTTTATCTAAACTCGCTTTTTCTATATTTAAATTGAATCAAGAAGGTGTGAAGCAAAATTAGCCACGAATTGTTTCTCTCGTGGTATGGCAGTCATAATTCAACCGCAGGGGAACCACTAGAATCACTTCAACAATTTTTTTTTAAATTTTTTTAAAATTTCCAATGGCAGAAATTGACAAAACACTTAACAAGAAGAATATATGCAAATGAAATAGATTAGATAAAAAAGTAAATGACTCATTAGCAGATGTCTAGCACTCCAATATCTTGAACAGCCGAATATCCCATCAAATGCTTCCTATCCATTACTTCGAATTTCCTACAGAGTACTTCAACTAAATTTAAGTACATGAAAATTTAACTAGAGTATAAAATTTGAAAGGAAGAAATGGAAGAAAAAAAATAATTAAGGCGACATAAGATTTTCAAATGAACGAAAATTTAACAAAAAAAGAGAAGAAGAAAAATTCGATTTTACGCTTTTCATATTTTTGAAATCTAATTCCTGATGTTTCTATTCATTTTATAAAGCTTAATTTCTGACTAAAAATAATGCTTAACATATTGTACCACCCATCTATTTAGATATAAAATTAACACTTGTATATTTTGATTTCATTTCAGGTTTTTTTCTTCAAAAGAATGGAGAATTAGTTTCTTCGCAATCACACAACTAACTGATCGTCGACTTTACGAACGAAAAGATGGATCCAAATCCCTACAACGACGTAAACAAGAATCCCCAATCCACATTCTACGGTGCTCTATCTGGATCTGTCTGCTTCCCCATGCCTCTCATGTACAATCCCATGAACTCCTACCCTTTCATGTCAGCTCCCTTCCTACCCATGCATCATCCCATGTTGTCTAACCATGGACTGCAGGATTCCCACGTGCTCAATCCTGCTTCAGATTCCATGCAGCTGGCAAAATCTTCCGAAGATTTGAGCACCAGGGCATTTGCCTACCTTCAAAGCAGATATCAGTCTATGGGCAAATGTTTCCTGCCCCCCTCGAGGAAATCTTCTAAATATTGCCCGTCTATAGTAGATGTCCAGTCAACGGATGAGAAGATGGGATACAGTGATCCCATTATGGGAGTAACGAGTAACAGTACCAGTTACTCCGATAAAGACTGTTACTTATCTAGTCCTGGTACAGAAGTGGAAGAACCAGATTCATCAGGGAAACGTTCGACCGATGTTATAGAACAAAAAGGTTCGTATTTTGTTCTTCAATTGCAATTTAGTATTATGCTGTGTAGTGTATCAACCTCTACAAAAATATAATTCTAATTCACTAGCCACTAATCACTTCACACTAATTCACTATATAAGACATGTTAACTCGATTCTATGTTGGAGTACCTTTTCATAGATGACGGTTGACAATGTCGGTAAGAGTCCGACTTTGAGAAGAACTCCTCGAGACTAAGAGTCTGGGGCAGTCTGCTGCAATAGTGTAACAAGCGAGAGCACATTTCTAATGTGGGTGCAATAGAGGAATGAAAGGTCTAGATTGGTTTACTCACGCTGACCAATGCAAGAATCAAAACAAAATTATTCACCCCACACCCCTATTCAAAGTGAATTTTCCTCATAACCATGGTAGCAGCCAATAAGCGAGATTGATGTCTGGAGGAATTCTCCTGAAAGCCGGACTATACAGAGATTAAAATTGACAAATGATAAATTTCTCTCATTGTTTTTACGATTTTTCTTCTAACTAAATAATTTAATTGCTAATCGCAAAACATGAACTTAATAAAGTATGAAATTTAGGCCGGGATATCCTGGTTGGTAGGGCACTGGGACCATGTTCAAGAGGTCTTGGGTCCCCCCCCTAAAACTCCCCGTGTAGTAAGTGGTGACTGATGCGCGTTAAATCTGTCGAGTCACAAATTCTTCCATGTTCCCATAACAAATCATACCTCGACAACGGTTATATATATATATATATATATAAAATAGAACTTACCACGAAGTTGTGACCAGATGATTCCAATGTATGCTCCCCACATTCCACCGAATACGAAGAAAATGTGTNTCTCGGTTATCATATCGGTTATAAAACTCCTTTCCCGAGAAGTCGGCCCCTATAACCAGTCAGTAAGAATTTTAATATCTCGATGTATCGTCAAAAATATCGATATTTAACTATATACTGATCGCGATATTTTTCCATTTAAACTAATCTGTGTTGTTTTTACATAAGGCAATGTTTTGTTAGTCAGTGCTGACAATGATATAGTATCTAATAATTATTTTCATATTATTCGTTTTTTGATACGTTAAGTTATCATTAATGATTGCACGTGTAATACCGATATATTGCACGTGTATTCTGTATATTGCAGGTGTATATTGCTCGTGAATTATTGGTTTATTGCACGCGTATTAGCATTGTATTGCAAGTGTATTATCAGTATATTGCACTTGTATATTGCGCGTGAATTATCGGTGGCCGGTGTCCTGCAATAAACAAAATCTGACGTAGTGTTGACTTTATAATCCCTAGAACCTATAAGTAGCAAATTTCGTTAACATAATTATTTTTTTAAAAATTAATTTGCATTTTTAAATTTATTAAAAAAAATAGAATTAATATATTTAATTATTTATTATTTCTGCAGGGGTACTTTCAAAATTGTTAAGAATGCAATCATTAGTTTGTCAATCATTGTTTGCAATATCTCTCTATTGTTGTTGTCGCAATCCATTATCGCAACGGGTTCTTTCTTTCCAGTAGTGTCATCTATGACCAAGAAATCAACTTCTGCCTCACCCATACGTCACACTCGTTTATGGGCCGATCCCATTCATCCACAGTTAGTAATTTTGACCTGAACCAGAGAACGACCCATCTCCAATTCACCACAACAGAAGTATAATTTGTTTTATGAACATGGAGGATTTTTTCACCCGATAGATATAACGTGCACCAGTCATGGGAATCTTCGGCTGGCTGGATTTGAACTCGAAATTCGAAAAGGGAAAAAAAAAATCTTTCCTTTTTTTTTTAAATAAATGATTTTTTTTTTATATTAAAATATTTAGCTTATCGTGTGAAATTTACTTGCATTTATTTTAGTTTTATATTCTTTATCTTCATGAAAGTGGCAATTTTAAGTGTGAGAAAGCGTTCTTTTATTGTTCCTTTTTATTTTTCCTTCATTGTAAAAAGAGGAAACAGAAAAGTTCACCAATCACCAGTAAACCAGAAGTTCACCAGTTAGATCACCTAGTTTTCATTCATTTCATTAACTTAGCTTTGATACACTCTGCACTTTGACGTGACAGTCCCTGGTAAAATTATTTGACGAACTCTAAGATTCTGTGTAAAATCTTAAATATCAGGTGATACTATACAGCTTTATTGTTTTTTACGCGAATGTTTGAACTTGTATACGTTCGTTTATCAATGGGTTAAATTTGACGATATATATTATAAATTTGCCGATTGGATAAATTAGACTATATATTGTATAATTATAGAATATTTATTGTATTAGATATTATATTAGTGTATTATAATAATTAGACCAAGTCATTAGACGTACTGTAGTGCTTTAATAATGACATGTCTTGCACGAGTTTATAGGCAATACTTTTATATTTAAACATAGAAGCAATGGGTTTTTATTCAGGAGATTTTTTTATATACTTCCTATTTGTATTTATTTTTAACATATTGCATTACAATGTTAAGCAATTGATACACAAACATAAACAAGTGCAAACCTGTTTTAGCCGATCACCTGATAACTAAGATTTTACAAGGAATCTTGAAACACCTAACACCTTTAAAACACCTAATTTAACGCAGGAACGTAGCCTTACGCTTTTACTAATTCTTGTTTTATTCCATTCTGAAGATATATCTGCTGGAAAGTTTTTGACATAATATTCTTAAACTTTTTTGAAAGAAATAGCCTAACTGAACTCAGATAATTAAAAACTAGGTCTATCTAAAGTTTTCTTCTTATTAGCACTACACTAACACTTAAACACAACAGATGGCAGCACCAAAGAAAATTTATTTCTTCTTATATTCTTCTCCCCTCTGTCCCACACTTTATTCTCGCAATATTTTTTCCTAATTTCTCTCAATTATTTAATGATTCTTTTAAATGTTGCATTTTTGTATGCTTAACTCCCAACTACTAAGAACGAGGATAAAATCATTGGTTTCAATATAGTTAAGACTGCATTATAATTGTTAAAAACTTTTTCAATCAGCGCAAATATTGTGTTCCATTGTGATAAAAATATTGCAGAAATAGCAACATTTTTGACCTCTCATCTATTGTTTAGCTTTAAGTACCGCCTTTTCTTTGAATTTCGGAATTCAACCATGGATGAGATATTTAGTTACAAAAAGTGCATTTTGAGGGAACATTCACCATAGGACTCTGTCTTAATGGTTCGAGGGTGTGACTTCAAATATGCTAATTATCTAGTGCAGACTATTTTAAATTCCGTAATCAGATGCAAAAACATACTTTCTCTGAATAAACATAACTTTTGTTCAACAGATTCGATTTTCTAACCCCCCGTAATATAGAGGGGGCCGTAATCTGGGAAATTCTTTTTTCGTATTTCGTCATAGCTCGAGAGCTTTTAAAGGAAATTAAAAACGTTTTACACACAATTATAAAAATTCTTTTATCGAAAAATAATTCCATGCAAAAAATAACTTTAGTAAATATTTATTATTTAATAATAGTCTGAAAAATTTTGATTAGAATTTGAAAAATAAATTTAAGGTATACAGTTTTTTGCATCATTTAATTTCACAGGGAAAAATTTAAAAAAAAAATTGTGCGAAATTGGTTGAATAGTTCCTGAGAAATCTAGTTTTGTACGACTTTATACGTACGACTTTCTTAAAATTTAATTTCTCAGGATGATTCAAATTTTGTATTTAGCCACGTGAAAAACCTACAATATTTTGTAATTCAAGTTATATCTGAACAAGTAACTTGCTTTCATAAATGTATTCGCTAACATAAGATATAAATAACTTAAATGACGGTAGATGGAGTACAAAAAGTTATTGAAAGGGCCCCGGTCAAAAATTTTTGCCACAGGGCCCCGAGGGGCGAAGTTACGGCACTATTCAAGTACCGCCTTTTTTTCAAATTTCGGTATCCATCCAGAGATAAGATAATTAGTTACAAAAAGTACATTTTGAGTGTTTTTTTTTTTACTTTTCTAAAATTTTCATAGTTTGCTGGGTACTTAAAAGAAACTTTTTATCTCAAATTCATTTTCATCTCCATTACTAATTTAAAATTTAGAAGAAAGAAAAATTTGAGTTCAGGCAAACATAGAGAGTAAGCCACAAATTTCAATTGCTGGAAAGAAAAAGTCAAAATATCAAGATGATAACAAATTATTGAAAGAAAACTTCTCGAGGGTGCGAAGCCAGATTTTTCAACAAAAAATAAGCAACTTTTAAATACTCTTGTAAGCACTCGGAAAATAATTTTTAATTACTTTCGAAAAAAAATCATCATCAAATCATCATTAAATCTATCATTTAAAGCTCTTAATTTATCAACATAAAATCCATAAAATTCAAGATAGGAAATTAAGTACTTTTTACAAACCGCGAATAAAAAAAGGCACCCTCAAGGACTTTTAAAAAAACATAAAATCAAAAATAAGCACCTGTTAAAAACGCTACGCACCCTGCTCTCCATAGCATATCTCACTCATATATATGTATTATTTGGCCAAGATACATGGCAATAAAAATAAAACTACCCGACCAAATGTCATCAAACTTGGTAAATGTCTATAAAAGGTCATGGGATTTTAGTTCCCGCAAAAAAAAAGAAAGAAAAAAATTGTCAAAAATTCACCACCAGCGGAGAATGGCACTTAATGCAATAGTGTTAAACAAATGCGAAATATGCAAATTTGTTTTACACGTCATGTGACTTTGCAGTTATAAAAGTGAGGCGCCTTGTCTGAGCTGTCAGTGTTCTGAGTCGACAATGTCTGTTACCATGCAAGACCGTGCTTTGCTCGTGAAATGTTACTATGAATGCGACAGCAATGAACGGAGGGCTTTACAAAAGTTCCGTACTGTTAGAGGAAAACGCCGAGGTCCAATGACACCGCAAGGTTTACGGCAAATTTACGGTAAAAATCGTGTAAAACAAATTTACATATTTCACATTTGTTTAACACTATTGTATACAGCGCCATTCT